AGGCCCTCCTCCCCGCAGCCCCAGCTGGAGTTTCCATGTGACCCCGGGAAAGAATGGCGCAGCTAGCGGGCCTCGGCCCACGCTGCGAGCCGAGATGCACCCCATCCATCCGCGTCCCCCAGAGTCCGACACCCCTCCGCCGCGCATCCCCGGATCATCTGCCCTCCGGGATGCGGCTCCCTCCGGGCCGGCGGCCCAGGCACCGCTCCCGCACCCTCCCGCCCCAGCAACAGGCTGCGCCCCCGCCCCAGCACCCGGCCGACAGCTGAGCCCAGCCACGCGCGGGGAGCACGAGCGCGCACAGGGAGCACGCGCGGGGGAGCAGCGGGAGACTTCCAGAGCGGGTCCCAACCCCAGAGCACCGCGCCCTCTGGTCCGCTTACCCGCCGCGCTCTTCTGCGCAGTAGCGGCCGCCTGAGGCTCGGGCCCGGCGCGCACACCCACGCGTGACGGGGAACTTGATCCGCTGGGCGGCCGCTGCAACCTCGCCGGCGCCCGCCCCCGACGCCGATCGCGCCGACCCGGGCTCGGAGGAGGCCGAAGCCGCGGGGCTGCGGGAGCTGTGACGCCGGGCCGGGCGGGCGCGCTGGCCAATCAGGGGCGCGGCCGGGACTACGGTCCGGGGTTTTCAACCTGCCCTGGGCCTCTAGGCCTGTGTAGGAGATGGGCAGCCAGCCAGGCCTGCAGGGCATGGGGGACCCCGCTGGTGAATTTCAGAGAAAAGCCATCTAAAACAATATTTCTCAAGTGGTGCGAGGGACATTACTGAAACATTCACATTTTATCAAAAATGTAAATTCAGCTGGAAATCCTGTTTTTGTGTCTCCTTGATGTGACGCCCTGCACTGGTACCCTGTTTTCAAGTTCTCAGTGAGACTGCCGCTGGCCTTCTAAATGATTGAAATAGCCAAGAGGGAGCGTGGGGTGGGGAGGACCAGTTCCACTTCCTAAGAAACTTTTATTTTCCCCCTCCCCAGAGCTGAGGACTGAACCCAGGACCTCACTCTACCACTGAGCTAAATCCCCAACCCCGTAAGTAACTTTTAGCTCATCAATATGTATTCTTAGTCTGGCAAGCCAATTAAAAAAAAAAAAAAAACAGTAAACATAGGGGACTGTTTGGATTTGCCTGGTGCCAGGAAGAATGGATGTTCATGTCTGTCTTGTGCCGTTCACAACTGTCTTTCTGCTGTCTTGTTTGTGGGTCTCACAATTTTTTCCCGTGGAAGAAAATTGCTACGTTTTCGGGACAGATGTCTAATATTACACTGTACAATCAAAAAATAAAAATCTCAAAATTTAAAATATTTAAAAGAATTGCTTTTAACACTGAATGAAAGTACACTATTTTTCTTTGGCAGACTTGTAGATTTGTTTTGTCTACTAAAAATCAATTTGCATTTCTCCAACATTTACTAAATATTTAAAGAGAAAAGCAGATTATAAAATATACTAGGCTTCCGAGAATCTTTGGGTGGATATTTTCAGAAAGCTGCACCATAGATATTTGCCTGTTGATCAGAGTAAAATAAAGGGATTCAGTGTCCTGGGTGAGGCGGCTGCATAGCCAAGCGGCCAAGCTCCCTGGTTCTTCAAAGTTGAAGAAAGTCGCCATAAAGTCACCCAGCAGGAATATAAAAAAATGACTGAATTCATGTCTATGGACATGAATCACCTCTAGGTCCTTTGAACATGAAATTGCAGTTGGATGAGGGAAAGTACATCCCACCATATCTCATTCCCCCAATACATCTGGTTTCTTTTCCATCTGCTCCCTCAAGACTCCCATTTTACAAAGAAGGGGGGGGGGCTTTCTTCAGGGTTGTTTGGTCCCCACCCAGTTTGCCCTTTCCTTCACAGCTAAAATTCTTGAACGTAGCACGAATGGCTTCTGGTCCCATTACTGCAATAACAGTTCTCTTGACAGGGGCACTGGTGGCCTTTTGCTGCCTAAGTCCACTGGACACATTTTTGTCTCATGTATTTTGCCCTGACATTCATTCACAGCTCAGCTAGAACGCTCTCTTCTTAGAGCCCAGTCTGTCCCTCCACACTGTACCTTTTCTCTAATTTCATTCGGTCAAAACTTCTTGATGTTGTTCCTTTTAGGTGCAAATATGTAGGCCTTGACGGTGATTTTTGAGACCAACAGAAAAACCTTTTGAAATTTTAAAATAATAGATGACCATGCAGAGTGTTAGAACTCCTAACCAAGAGAAGGAAGGACCCAGAATATGAAGATTCCTTCAGTCTCCAGGTCGATCTGCCTCTGTCATCAGGCTGCTCTGTTTTCAACAAGCCTAACAAATGCTGGACTTCCTCAGAAGTCGGTTATCAACACTCTTTCCTTCTGACTGCACCTCAGATTAATATTCACTTGCAGTTTATCGTCTAATGGCTGACATTTGTATGTTGATCTCGGGTTTCTCCATGCATAAAGCACTTACTGAACTTCGCTCTTGCCTTTCTCAAACCCATGCTACCCACAGCAGAACTGTGGCATCTGTTCTCTAACCTGGTTGCTTTTCCCATTTTAGTGTCTCACTGAAAGATGCCTCTGTACAAAGTAGGGTGAATGCACTGTGACAAATTCTCATTGCACCTGTATTTTGCTTCATGATATTTTTCCTACTTTGTGATTATATGTTTACTGATAACCATTTATGTAATGATGCAATCTCTCTCTGTCCCCTTAAACCATAAACTCCATGGGAACAGAAGAAAAATCACTGTTTTAACTTCAGAGCCTAGCAAAATGCCGGGTCCCAGGTTGGAGTTCAAATGGCAAAGGATAAATAAATGATTGCAAGCATGAACAATTTATCTGGATGTACCTTTAGTGTTCTCATAGGGTCATCTCAAGGTACCCCATTTAGAGAGGGTTTTCTTGGGGTCTAGAAATTCCAAAATGTTTCTCCTCTTTGAATAGTAAAATATTCTGATTCATCATTTCCAATCTGGTTATTCTGAAATGCAAAGGGAACTGCTAGGCGTATATGAGGAAATAATTCCTACTAGCTACTAGTTACTGGGATAATTCTAAGTACTAAAAGTTAAAATAGCTTTTTTTATGTTAAGCCATAGCATTATGGGGACACATTTATATGAGTGTATTACAGGCCAGTGTAAGGAGTTCAGTTCTCTGCCTTGTTGTAAGTAAATGAGAGTGAAGAAAAAATGTTCAGCCTTGATTTAAAAGGCAATATTGGTGCAATCTCATTCAACAAAAGAAGTCTTACCTGGCCTCTTTACACACAAGACTCTCAGAAGTCGAAAGGCATCTTGGGATCAGAAATGGTTAGTGCTTGGGGTTAGTGCTTGAGGTTGATTCTACTAAGAAGCGCCTCCTTTTGAAGAGGTCAGTTTTCCATCCCTATAACCACTACCTGCAATAATCAACTGATAGCAGTGAGTAGGGAACCAAGTGGGCCTTTGTGGGCACAGACACTTGAGAGCCAAACTGCTGCAACCCACATTGTTCTACCTCCTTCTCTTGAACTTAGTTTCAGGATGGCAGATAGCATTAGCTTTAAAACATTCAAGAATTTAAAGTAAAATCTTAGCAGAGAAAAAAGTACAACGCAGATAAAGGAGAGATGCTATATTCTTTAAGGTAGGTTGGAGATTTCCTAAATACATATTAGTGGTTCCTTATGTTTTATGTTGCATATAGAATCTGGGATCTGAAAACAGAAGAATTCAGAACATGACAGTGTTGGCATTTAGGCTCTATTCCAAATGAGATGTTCTCCACAGCCATTTGTTTTTCTCAAATTTGGATAAGTTCAGGCTATTCTAAAAAAATAGTTTTATTAAAATTTTGAGAAAGCATATGATGTATTTTGGTCATACCCCCACTCATCCCCAAAGGCCTTCCAGAGCCAATCTCTACTCCCTCCCAACTTTGTGTTCTCTATTTTTTTAAATGTTTGTATTTCAAACATATACCCTCCTCCCCCTTTGGCACCTTCCCGTGCCCCCCTAGTTCATACATTCTGTCATTTGTGTTAAGGATTATCATGTAAAGTTAGTGTCCACAGATGTCCCTCAGTGCAAGTTCATCCACTGGGATCTAGTCACCCTATTTAGAGTCCCTCCCTTTAAGAAAGTCAGCTCTTCCTCACTCAGCAGTAATCAGCTGCCAATAATTCTTCAACTAAAATTAGGGCCTGCTGTTCATTTCCACAGTCCTGTGCTGGGATTTTGTCTGCTTGTATTGGCATGGGTCTTGTGCATGTTGACACCATTGCTGTGGGTTTGTATGAGAAAAGTCCCAGGAACCTGTAGGACTATTTCCACCTCCCTGGCTCTTACATTCTTTCTGCCCCCTTTTCCACAATGGTACCTGAGCCCTTGGGTGGGTGGATTTTAATATAGGAGTCCTGTCCAAGGACCCACACTCCACAGACTCTTAATCTCTGTTTTTTGCCATTTGTGATCTTTTACATTCCTGGCCCTCTGTTGCATGAGAGACCATCATAGATGAGAATTGGAAGATGCATTAGTGTTCTCTTCATCCTTTGTTCTATGTTCCGTGAACCTTAGGTGTGGAGGTTGCATCCTAGATGTGCCACTTAAACTTGAGCAATTCACAGACATCTCTGTGTGACCATTTGTGGAACTCTGTAATTATCTCTGTCTCTTGAAAAAGAAGCTTCTTTGATGGGTGGTGACTGGGATACTTGTAAAAAGATTTAAGGATCCATATTTTGCACATGGTAAGAAATTACATTTGTCTAGGGGTATGACAGTCTTGGGGTTTTCTCTAAGATCTATGACCTCTCCAGCCGTGTGTATTTGGTTAAGTTTACAGTCCACACATGTTTCCTCCCATTGAGTGGGCTTTGAGTCCAATTAGGTAGATGTTGATTACCCCCAAGATAAAAGAACCACTACTGCATCAGTGTCATTTGCTGTGCTGGTCATTGATGTGGTTTTTAGTCCTTGAAGCTGGGGTTGGACCATCAACTGACGTTCTCCCTTAGCAGCTTGTACAGTGCTCTCCAAAGCTCTGAGAGCTAGCCTGCAGGGGAGGTGGCTTCCAGATCAGTCCCAGTTCCATTGCTCCAAATCCTGTGTCCAAAGTATGTCCTGTCTTCAGCAATAGGTTCTTAGCATCAAGTTCTATAAGGTAATCAAGGACTGTGGCAATAGCCTGTCTAATTCTGGGAGTCTGTTGGACCAACCTGACCAACAACTCAAAGGGAGGTTTCTCTTATCTGCGACTGTTTCTTGTTATGTAGCCTTCAGCTATACTCACAGATTCATGTAGAGATATTGTATGTGTAATTTTTTAGTAGGTTTTTGGACTAATACAATTCCTTCTGGCTTTTATAATAGCTAGGCACTATCTATCTCTCATATTTTTCTCCTTGTCTTATCCTCCCTCCCTACTTTTTTCTGTTTTCCCCATTTAAAGTGTCCCAATTTTCCCCATTTCTCCCTTGATAATATCTGTCAGCTGTGGTCCCTTATCTCTTGAGCTTCTTCTTCCCCTTTATTCCCATTATCCCTGTACAGCCCTCCTCCCCCTCCCATTTAACTACCCCCTTTTTTACATGTTTCCCCCTTAGTAACACCTGTCTCCTACTATTCTCTCTCAGGTTCCTTCTTTCCCTTTCCCTCCCTGGTTCCCTTTCATTTTCCTGGTTCCTTAAGTTACATCAGGATATATACTCACTTATTAGGGTTTGGTGCTAGGAACCACAAATAAGGTAGAAAATACGTCTTTTGTTTCTCTGAGTCTGTGTTACTTCACTTAGTATAACAGTCCCTAGATCCATCCATTTACTTGCAAATTTTATTCTTTCATCTTTTTTTACTGTTGAGTAGAACTCCATTGTGTAAATGTACCACATTTCCGTTAACCACTCATCAGTTTAGGAACACTGCTATTGTGAAAAGAGCAGCAAAAAACATGGTTGTACAAGTATCTCTGCAATAGGATGAGTCCTTTGGGTATATGCTAAGGAGTGGTATAACCAGGTCATATGGCAGGTTTATTTTTAGTTTTAAAAGTAGACCTAACAGACAGCTACCAAATATTCCATCCAAACCAAAGACATTTTCTGTGCAGCAGCCCATGGTGCTCGAATATTAACCACACACTGAGGCACCAAACAAACCTCAACAAATACAAAAATTGAAATAATTCCGTGAAATAATTCATTCTATCAGAGCACAACCCAATAAACCTTAAAATCAACACAAAAAGAAGCCGTACTAACTACAGGACCTCATGAAGCTTAAACAACA